GTTAGAATGCTTTAAAAGCACTCCATTCTAAAGTGTTTATCCCTGGAGTCAGTACTGGGAAGGTACTGGAGAAAGCATAATATGCAATGGTGACATCATGGAAGTTGTAGCTCCCTGTGAAAATAACATTGTGAATTGATGGATATCAATCAGAGAAAGGAATGTTGAAGAGGCAAGAAAAAGAATATTTAGGAACCATCTAGAAGGAAAGCCGCTGTAAATGCTTAACCTACTAAACTAGAAAAGCTCAGGAGAGATATTGGCATGAACTGAGTTTTTTTAGAGTCTGCATCTGAAAGGAAGTGAAAAATTTTGTTAATTTTGGAGGAGCAGAGAGGTGAAATGAAATTTTACAGGGAAGAGTCACCAACCACACAACATGGAATTTAACATTTGGTTTTCTGTATGATGTTGACAGCAGTTCAAATGTTACTCCTCAGTTGACTTGCAGCAAAGGTTAGAACAGTATATTTTCAAAATTAAAACAACAGCTGTATTTTAAGCTAAATCCATACATATTTTTTCACCAAAGTATCTCTCTAGATAACAGTTTAGTTGGTTAATTTTGATTTTGTATTTTCTCTTTCTGTTTTTTTATTTTACTTCATATGGAAATGAGATGTCCAAGTCAAAACAGCCAAATTCCTTTCTGAAAACCACAAAACAAACAACCCCCTCCAGTAAATTCATTCATCTCAAGAGAAGCATTTGAAATAGGCCAGAGGAAACATTCTCTACAAGTACCCATTGCTTTCCATTTGATGAACCAGAAATCCATATGATCAGTTTAGACATACATATAACTTCTTGATATCCAAAGCCAAGTGAGATAACTTCTACTCTCTAAGAATACAACTTCATGTGGTTTGTTACACAAAGAGCCATACATACAGGTACTTCAGTGTTTCACAGGACAAACTTCTTAAAAGCCTAATTTCAAGTTAGTTCTGCTGTTTGTAAAAATCATTTATGCTCATACAAATAATTGGCTGTATTAAGAATGAATATGGTATTAATGAACAGCGTCAGTGTCTAGCCTAGTTACATATTCTAGAAACACTGCAGTAGCCAAAGGATAATATAACAACCTATAAAATGTGATTGGCCATCTCTTAGAAACATTTTAGTCATCTAATAGCCCTTTATTTAAGAAATCATCATAAAATGTGACTTTTTTTCATTAAGCCCTCATTGAAACAAATATACCTGGCTAATTAAAAAGCAGTAATTGTAGAAAAAACTCATGCGGATTCACCCAGGAGAGTGATTATAGATGTAGATATTTCCACCTTGAGGTCACCAGTGCAAATCCAGCCAGATCTGTAGATTTCAGACTACTCCAGATTAAATGTTTATTTATTTATCTAACAAATTAGGAACCTTGGTTTTGTTCTGACTGAACAGATGTCCAAAAAACAACTCAAACTCAGCACAGATAACAGCTGTCACTTTTGTTAGGGATCCTGTAAGGAGATAAAGAAAGTAGGACATACGTTTACACTGGACTGACTACTTCTCCCTTAGGGTAATACTATCACCTTGTTACAGGTCAAAAGTGAGGCACAGGTCTGTAAATCCTAGGAAAGTAATTTAAAATCATTATTTCAACACTATTTTACACAGCTCTAGATATGATAGAGCTTATATATATATATAAATTTTAATATTTCTAAAACACATATTTCTTCTCATTTTTAAAAAAAAAGTCTTCCTTTTAACAGATAACAGGTTAGTTAAGCTCTGGAATAGATCTCATTAAGATAACTATGTTCTTAAGGAGGGAGGTGGCTTAGGTGATATTGGTGACATCAAGATTGGAGTCAGCAGTGATTACCCACTGGAGTTCACAGTCCTGAGGGGTATGGGTCAGATGAAGAGTAAACTCAGAACTCTGAATTTTAGGAAAGTAAATTTCCATCTGTTCAAGGAATTAGTCAATAGGATCCTCTGGGAAACTGCCCTCAGGGACATTTTTCAAAGGGTAGAAATGAAAACCCTGTGAACTAGCAATCTGTCAGCCTCGCCTCTGTGCCTGGATAGATCATGAAACAGATCCCCCTAGAAGCTCTGTGAAGGCACACAAAGGACAGGGAGGTGATTCAAGACAGCCAGCATGGCTTCACCAAGGGCAAGTCCTGCCTGACCAACCTAATGGCCTTCTACGATTTGAGTGACTACATCAGTGGACAAGGGAAGAGCTAGAGATGTCATCTAACTGGAGTTCTGTAAGGTCTTAGGCACAGTACCCAACCACATTCTTTCTCTAAATTGAAGAGTTGTGGGTTTGAACTAAAGAACAGCTGAAGTGTCCATGGCAGAGGTGTGGAGATAAGTTGGCAGAGGCGGAGATTTCCTGTGCTATAGATATACACCGCCCTCCATAGGATGAAACAAGCAGTATCTCTGAGCATTGCATCCAAAACATACAGGGGGAGAGAGAGAGAGAGAAGAGTTATGTTATCATGTGTTAGCACACTGTAGCTTGAGGGTATGTAGGGGGGGTAGATTACAAGCCACGATGAAACAAGCAGTATCTCTGAGCATTGCATCCAAAACAGACAGGGGGAGAGAGAGAGAGAGAGAGAGAAGAGTTATGTTATCATGTGTTAGCACACTGTAGCTTGAGGGTATGTAGGGGGTGTAGATTACAAGCCACTGAAAAGAAGAGGTCTTAAGGGAAATTATGACAGGCACTGTCTTGAATAAGAGGCCTCCTGCAGTTTGTCAGAAGACAACAATATATCAGCCACCTGCTGATGAGCAGCAAATCACATAAAAGTATTTTGCCTGCAGACTGCAAACATCACTGATAACTGGGTAGTGAAAATGTTTGGCTTAGTGTATATCCTGGGCAAAGGATGACCAGAATTGGCTTGACAATCAGGCTGAGTGACAAGTAGTCAACAGCAATTGATTACGAAGTCATGGAGAATTGACAACAAATGAATATACAAAAACAAACAAAAAAATTAAAGAGGGAAGACTATTCCCTTGGCCATCCCAGGTACAAACCTTACTGAATGCTGATGTATTTTTTTCTGTTATCATTAAAAGTGAATGGCTCAGTAAGTGCCACTCTATGCACTAAGTCAATACTGAACTCATATTGCAGCAGTAAATATTATGTTTAATTATACTGGCTATAATTAAAGCACACAGAATTACAGAGGTAGTTATATTTTTATACCCGACAATTTAAAGAGGGACATATCTTTCCGTGTTGAAAAATTAGGTGCCTAGTTTAACTGAATTGTCCTTAGTACTTGATAGATAAAGAGAGGTATCTCCAAGGCATGATTCACCTCATGTCTCTTGGAACAACACAAATTGTCCTCTGTGAGTCTCTTTCTCTCCACTGAGTACAGATGGAGTCTAGAGGACTCACAGGTAAATTTAGATGAGGTAATGATCACCCTTAAATTCCTTCCCATTTCACAAAAGTATTGGCACTTGGTTCAGTGTATTTAAAGGTGAGGATTTCAGGCTTCCTGAAGCTGTGTGTGAAGCACTCACTGTTCCCTGCCCCCTGTGTGTGGCAACACAGAGAAAGTAGATTTTGGACTCAAGAATGTACACGAATCATAGAATCACAGATTGGTTTGGGTTGGAAGGGACCTTAAAGGTCGTCTAGTTCCCACCCCATTGCCATGGGCAAGGACACCTCTCAGTAGATCAGATTCCTCAAAACCTCATCCAGCCTGGACTTGAACACTTCCAGGGCTGACATCCACAACTTTCCTGGGCAACCTGTGTCAGTGTCTCACCACTCTCATAATAAAGAACTTCTTTTTTAATGTCTAATCTAAATCTACCTTGCTCTAGTTTAATGAATAATTTTTTGGTAAAATAAATTTTGGGAAAAAATATCCTGGGGAAAAATGATGAACTTGTTCCTCAATAGACATTGCTAGTTAGGTGATCTGCAGTAGCCCAGATGGGTGCTGGGAGGAGGTGGACAAAGCTGTTGTTGGATGGACAAAGGCTGATTGTTAGCTAACACCGATGGGAGGAATTAGCCTCCCTCATCTGAGAAGATAATTTTATGGAATCATGAAAAGAAATAAAAAAGGGACTTCAAGAGAACACCTAATAAGTCTATGTATCTGCTGTGGACAGCTTAACAGTTATTTCCTCCTGTCCACATGCACTCATTTCTACCTGGCAAATTGTCACTGTCGTGCATATCACAAGTTTAAAAAAATGGAGAAGGGAGAAGCAGGGTTTGGTATCATGCAAACAGTTGGCTTGCACAGCGACTATTCCCATTAAAAAGCACTAGATAATATTAATAAGTAGGTTAAATAGTATTACCACTACTACGGTAGGTTCTCCTTTCAATAGCAACTGATTTGGGAGTAGTGGCTGGGTTGTATGAGGATTGAAGCTGGAGACTGTCAGGGTTTGGTTATGAAGCATGGTGAGTATATAGGACTTTTGGTTCAAGCTTCAAATGGCAGAAGAAAGAGAGAAAAGAGAGCCTAGCTGATCATCTGCAGTATTTTTTTTGTAAGACAAGGAGCAAACCTGTTAGGCAGCAATGCACACTGAAAGCACAAACAGCCTAAATTTCTGATCTCTCATTTGTTTGTGTTGTTGCTGATGCCAGATGTAAGAGGCAGAAAGATGATGATGTCTCATTTCTACAGACCATAAGAAGGCATGATGGAGCTTCTACATCTCTCCAGGAATCTCTCATTCCCACTGACTCTTCCCTGGACTCCCAACACAGAAGCTCCTCACACTGGTCATCTCACGCCTATGTTCTCCTTTAGCAAGAGCAGAACCCAGTATAAGTTTTAGTTATTTTCTAAAATAGATTTGAATTGTGGTGATAAGCTATCCAAGACCCAAATTTCACATCTAAGTGATGAAGCCCAGCTCCAGATCACTGTAGTGTTTTTGATTTCCTTTTATACTGAGTATCCAAGCAAGGTTTTACACTCATGCTGCCCAAGCAGCTTTACTACTCAGAGGCAAAGAACAAAGAGAAAATACTTTACCATCTTCAGAGATGATAAATCTGAATAGTGCAGGACACTTGACAAAGACGATTTCACCCACACTTGCAGGTTTCCAGCATGTAATATTGTCCCACATTCCTGGGCAACCTACAGAAGAGAAGGAGGGATAAAACAGATTAGTGGTTGAAATCCATTTCTTTTTTTCACGCTTTTATTGTGTTTTATAGTTGATTCTTTCTTCTACTCATAAAAAATACTTGTTCAGAATCAGTACCATTTTCTAATAAGCTTTTCTCACAATAAAATAATTTTCACTCATAGGAATAGCATAAAATATCTAGTTGCATGGCACAATGATGGCCAGACTCTCCCCTCCCAGATGTCATTTCTTTGTCCCAGTTAAATCACTCCAACATATACCAAAAGCAATATTTCCCTTGAGCATGAAATCTGCTGCCATTTAGCAATCTTTCACTGGTGACAGCTTTAATCTTTTTTATTTATGAATCATATACTTGATTTAAGTCCTATAAATTTCTGTTTACTTTAATCCTTGTCAAAGGGTGGGTATTGGAACATTTTGGAATTTGACCCAGAGAGATGACTGGAAAATGAAAAATAGATTCTGCTTCATCCTATGGTTAGTTTTGTGGATGTGTGAGGGATGCTCACCTTTTTCCTGCTGTTTATTTTATTTAAAAACTATTCGGGATAGAAATGTCTATCCTTACTAAAGAACTGTTGTAATATTGTTCACTACCTCTACTACTTTGCTCTAGAGAATAGAGAATACAAGCTCACAACGTCAAAAGAATGTTTTTGACCTCCAAGGTTTTCTTGCATGAGTTAAAGATAGAATCAGGCCTTTAAAAACTGTTCAGAAATCAGGTTTCAGGTAAGTTTTGAATTAAAGATCTGAGTGGTAAAGAACCAACCTCCTGTTACACACAGGAAGAAAGAGGAGGTGATACATTATGGATGGGAGTTTTCTCCTCTTAGGATATAAGAAAAACTCAAGTCCTACGTGCTATCTTAAATACAATAAAGGAGGCCATCTCCTTCTTCATTCTGACTACTGTGTCAGAGACAGGACACACTAACTAGCTTTTACGAAGCATAATCCCTCCTGTAATTCTGTAAACCACCATTTACTAGCTCATAAACCTAGAAGACATCCTGTGTACAGAAAAACTCAGAGCAATCTCTCAAATTTCCTCCTAATGTTTAAAAAAATGCCTTACTGAAGGAATCTTAAAGGGGAATCATCTTCTACCTCAGCAGGAAAAGAAAACCCAAGTCTAAATATCTCCACTACTTATTTGCATTTGATGTTGAGACTGAGCATATAATCTTGTCAACCGCTAAAAGCCACAAGCTCCATGATCTTCTAAGCTGTTTTCCATTAATATGCTCTCTCTTTGACTACATGCCAACAAAAATAAGATCTTCAGTCAAAGCAGATAATACTTCAAAGTGTCATACTTTCAGACTGGCACAAGCACAATGTGATGAGGTACGGGTGATCAACTTGTGAAAACAGCATGGGCTTTATCAGCTTTGTCGATAGTAGCAGATTTCCATCAGTGGAGAATGTGCACTCACAGGACTGGAATTTGTGTATTTTTTCCATCAGCTTCAGTGGCAGGGAATCAAACCCTCTGTTTTCTCACAAAAATATAAGCTAGGTGCTACCCTGTTTGGTGGATAGGGCACATATGAGTGCTACAGTGTTTGAAGAACTAGGTCAGTGTCAAACAACACCGTTACAATATTACAATGATGGCACAAGCTAAGCAATAGATAACCATTCTTTCAACTCAAAGAATGCAGCATCATATTACAAAATATAAATTAATAACCATATAAAATCCTGATCTTATTAGATAAAAACGCCTCGGCTTTGCCAGGCCCACCAAAATACCATATTACTGTACAAATGCTCTTATCAAAGGAGCTAGAACAAAGGAATCCTTTACATTTCCCCCTTTCCCTTTCTTTTTCCACTCCTGCCCCAGCTTGTTTCCTTTGCCAGATGAGGATCTCATTGTGTGAGCACTGTGGTTCGCTAGAACATCTCCAAAAGGCTCAAAGACTTGTGTTTGAAAAGTTTTGTGACACAGTTATCATACTAAAGATGGAGATCAAGATCACTTTGAGCACTATTAGATTTTATTGTCTTTGATAGCTAGTGTCAGTACACGCAGTAGGAATTGTATTTACAATGTAAATGTGAAGACATGTAGTAATAGGTTTATAGTTCACTGGTGTACAGCACTCTGTCCCAAAGTAAAGGATATGTAAATATCCATGGTAATGAGCCATTTGCTTACAAGAGATGTTAGAGACAATCAAAGTGGCTAATGAGATCTTCGGAGAACCACCTGCTAGCTTTGCTCACTTCTGTTAAATGGATTTGATAGGAATAGGGAAAGCTTGCTTATTTGTGATTATTGTTTCATCATCAGTTGTCTTCCAAACAGTGGGGTAGTAACAGATACTGCAAACCAACCTAAAGAAATGCAAGGAAATCCTCATACTGCAGAAAAGACAGCGTAGATACAGAATAAATATTATAGCACTGTGTATCAAATGCAGTTATACCAGGTTGCCATTTTGGGGATAACACCATGCCGAGCTAAAAAAATATCCCCATTTAAAAAGACATCGTAAGTACATTGTGCTAGAAAGCACTGATGTGCTCACACTGAAGGAGAGGGAGAGAGAAGCAGAGAGACAGAGATTGCCTTAGTTACTAAAATAGGTGAGTGACAGAGATTGGGAAGAATCCACAATCAATGAGAATGTTGCCTGATCCTGCCTGGAAAAGCGTATTTGAAATATAGAATTTAGAAGAGCAAATAAAAAGATACAAAAAAAAATCAAATGGAATAAAGGGCAGCACGCGCAATGCCCTTACATTTGTAAACCATGGTACAAGCCAGCAATTACTGCTGGGTGAAATCTGGCCACGGAAGTCAACGTGACTTGAGTGTGAAACTGCACAGCGGGTTCTCCTCTGGCACTGACTCAACATCTCCACTGCCATGTGTAGTAGGGATGCCCAAGCTAGCTGTGAAAGAGGTGGCTCAGATGCTGCAAGCAGCAAAGTGCAACTTCAAGTGAGCAAAATTTCCCATTTCTTAATATGGTAGAAAGCAGTAATGATAAGAAATAGTTCTAAAGAATAGCTTTCATGGAGGCCAGAGTGAAAAAAATAAAAATGGTGAGCTTGATAATGGATGGTCTTGAAAAGAAGGCACTTTGCAGAAAGCACAAATTCTGCCTTCCCATCTCTACACTGTAACCTGCAGACTGAATTTCATGTCTGGTAGACATTGTGGGATGCATCTCAGCTAACATAAGGAGTGTAAGGCTTGGCATTTGGTCTTTGCTAGGTATTTATGCCTTCTCTGACTTGCCTCATCTCCTTCAGCTAGCTGCCTCTTCTTCGATGGGATGGGTGATCCTCTGGGAGCCTCTATTCATTGTCACTCACTTTTGAGCACACACAGTGATCATTCAACTGTAGGATTAGTCAGGATTGGTGTAACTTCAGATGGCTAAGACTTACCCTTTTATCCCATTCAGCTAAGCAAAGTTTCCTCTGTAGCTCATGGAAAGAGACTGTCCAGATAGGGATAATCTCATTTTAAGGTAGCAGTGGTGGTGAATCATCAAGTAAAGCATACCTCCATCTCTCCACTGACTATATTCAGCTGAACAAGGCTAAAAACTAGCTTAGCCCTGACAGCTGCCTATTGCATGGCTGAAAGCTATAATTCCCCGTAGGGTCTATGCGGTCTTTTTGGAGTAGATGTGAACCAACTCTGCAATTTGGGCAAAGTGTTTACCAGTGGCTATGCAGACTTCCTTAGCCAAAGCTGTGCAGTTCCTGAGCAAATCAAACCACAGAGCAACCACAGCAGCTACTTATGAAAAGCCACATGATCAATAAATACATCTCTGTGTCAAGCTGCTTCTTGGAAAAGTGAGATAAAACTCATATTTAAACTACAGGCTCCTTGTGGCAAGATGCACCTCGTACTCTTCTTGTGTAATGCATTTCAAAAACCAGAGTCCTGTTTTCAGCTGAAGTGCAACATGGATTTTGTCTGAATTTCATATGAAGCCTGTGACACCTAAGTTTAAATTTGATATTGTTGAAACTGAGGGGAGTGTCAATACATAAGGATGGATTTGACTTGGCACCCATTAAAGAAGAAGATCTCTTCCATAGAAGGGCCAGATTTTGTAACAAGCAGGAAACTAGGGATATTGATGATTTCAAAATCTTTAAAATTATACCTCACACTAAAACCATTCTAGTCATTCTCCCTCTGTGGAGGTTCACATGGCCTTGTGCTCATCCTTTGCTTCAAATTAAGCCTTTCAAAGCAAAATAATCTCTCTAACTTGTTACTCCTGACTCCCAAAAGGCTCCCATATTACCTGAAATGTATGGACAAGCACTGAGACAAAAAACAAAACAAACCAAAACAAAACACAAAGCAAGTCATACTGGCAGAATAGTCGGGATAGGGAGCTCTTCTGAAGTTGCTTATATTCCCTTATTACCTTCTCCTCTTTCTAGGGCTGTCTTGAGAGTTCCAGTTTTAACAGAGGCTAGGTATAAAACTAGATTTTAGGCAGCCCCATAGCCAAAGTTCACTGAGCTCAAGGAATGGACCTCACTTGAAATCCACTTAGAAAAGAGCCTGTTATCTTCCACCAAAATGGAGTCACTATGTCGCCAGGACTACGTACAAACTGCTCTTTTTCTATATATTTGTGTCTTATTTTGTCATGGTACCTCAACTGCAATACACTCATTTATACTCTATATAAATCCTCTCAACAGTATCCTCAACGTCCTCCTATGGCCCTATCCTGTCCCTGTTGTAACCTGCTTCCTTCTCATCTCTCATGACTTTTTGGCAAGAGAAGGTGCAAAAGCAGAGATGTTATTTCTTCTGGATGGCAAGATCCCCGTGCTCTAATTCACTGAACCTTCATTCATTCCTCTTAAGAAAGTATATACATCCTACCTGTCCCTCTCTCTATGAATTATTTTGACACCTTTCTTGTACTCTGCACATCATTTTCCCAAAACATAGAGGAATTTGCAGCTCTGAGGCTAGTGCACCTCT